CGTGCAAATCGAAAGATATTTAGGGCTTTGGTTCACCATTTACATTAAATGGGAGGAAAATATATATGGGAGCTATATCTAAACCTAAACCGATTTTCAGGAAAATTAACTCACATCATTCTAATTTTTTTTTAAGTATGCTATGCCAAATTTCGTACAAATTGAAATATATATAGGGACCTGTACTTTGTTTACATTAACATGGACAGACAAAGATATGTAGGGAATTTGCATAAATCGATTTAAAAAGTGATTGTATGCAAATATATAAGGAACAATATATATATATATATGCCTCTTACAAACATTTGCACAAAACTAATACCACATCAAACTAAACACACGTCAATTTTACGCTGTGTCAAATTTTGTGCAAAACGATGCTTTTAATTATTTTTATACGTAGTACTTTACCTGAAACGACAAGTTTCTTCTTATTGCTGGAATATTCTCCCGAATGTAGAATTGAAGTGTACGACAGTGAAAGATTTTCCCGGAACTTAACACATATCAATGTAGACTTCATTCAATACGCTATATTACGGCTGATTTTAACAAATCTATTTTTGAAGCGCGAACACAATTTCACAGAGAATGCCTCAAAATGAGATAATTGCAACTGTTCAGAAAAATACTTTATGACTTAAATCTTCCTTATTAAAGGGCATTAAGTATTAAATCGCACAAAACCCTTGAATGGAGTTTATATTGTAAAAAATAAAAGCAGGTATTAACTTAAATGAGAACATACAAAAATACTAGAGGTCTCTTTTTTACACATTATCCACATGAAATATAAATTCACATGTTTCAAATGATAAATTATTGGAAAAAAAAGACGGACAGGCTTAAATACATATTCATCCCGCACGAAATACTATCGCTTGGCATTTATGATAAAGTTTAACTCTTGAAAATGTTATATTTTTAATACAATTCCATTGCCCTTCAGTTCGTACTCATGTTAAACATAATATCAGAGAACACACATAATATTTCAACAAGAGTAAATGATAAAAAATAAATATTGTTTTTTGGAAATATTGTACACGATATACAAATACAATGTAAGAAAAATATTTCTTTTCGTTTTGATTTTTTTTTTGTCAGCACTGCCCATAGGTAGGCCAAATGAAAATAGTTGATGAATGCTGGGATAGGGGTAGCTGAAAAAATAATATCCGTTTACCATAAAGTAAAATATACACACAAAAAATCACTGAACTGTAACATATACAAAAATTCTGAACATTGAAAAAAACGTATTTTACATAAAATAAATATTTGTTGATGAGAAGAAGAATTGTTTTTGATCGATTATTCTTCAATTGCAAATTGTTGAACAAAATATGACATATTTTTGGGGTTTTAAAATCGCCAATTGAGAGAGTTGGAAGTGGGTAAAGAAAACAAACATTGCACTAATCTTTTGCTATGAGGTATATAATATCCTTTCATATGTAGGGTTTGGATCAAAACGGATAATATTTTCGAAGGAAAATTAAATTTAAATTTCAACTAAATTTTGACCATTTGTAGGGGAGGTACTGGTAGGAGTGGTCTAATATTATCAATCTTCGAACAAGATTTTAATTTGGGATAAATATAACGATGTGCATAGTTTAGATTAAATTGTCAACCCCTTTCGAGAGTTTTGGTGAATACATTTGTGCCATAAGGCTGCTCGTATAACGATTGACTACAAATTAGAAGTATTTACTGAGTGCCATGTTAGGGCTGCAGTGCAAATGACCCATGAATTCCACGTCGGCCAAAACTCACTGGATTGAGCCGATGTGTGAAAGCTAGAAATGTCACAGTGTAAAACGGTTTGTATTTTATTGTTCCTTTTTTGCGAATTTCTCCGAAGACTTCAGGCAAACGGGCTGTGGTATAACACTTTGAATTGAATGCCATTCGTAGCCTTGGATCAGTTTAACCGTAGAAAACATGCGGCCATTTGTTCCTAAGTGCTTCTGCCACACACAACATTTCTTGGATTTGGCTCGTCGTTCAATATTCATCCCTGTTTTGTTGTTATGCCAGCATACCTGAAAGGTACAAATCCGATTTAGTCTTACAGATCAATGCCGAGTTAATGTTTTCCTTAATAAAGAACACGTTTATCTACACATTCCTTAGGGGGGTTCAAATATTGACCGCGTACGCCTTTCATTTAAATTTCTGCTCATGGAAAGTTTGTTTGAGGACGTATGATACCTGGAGAATACCGACGTTGGACGTTTCAGTTCTTAAATATTTTTTTCAACAACCTTTTTCTATAAAAAAACCGAGAAATTGACTTGAATTGCTTTCTTTATAAGATGCACACCAATGTTGTCAGGGCATTAAAGCTTTGTGTGGCCCCAAAACTTTGTAACTCCGTGAATTTTTGGTCCTTGGTCCACGTTTGAGTATACCGATCGTCATATATCGACCAGCTGATTCGATGTGTGTCCGTCCGTCTGCTGTTCATTATAATTTGTAAGCACGATACAGATCACAGTTATGTACAAATCGTCAGGAAATTTTGCATGTAGGGCGGGTTCTAATCAAAGAAGATCTCTATATTTTTGGTAAAGATCGGTTTGGGGTTGAAATGGACCGAAAACTTTACTTTTGTCTCCTTTTTTGGAGACCCTAGAGGCTATAATTATGACCCGAACATTTTACACAGAGAAGGGGGTCTGATCATGGAATAAGCATGGTTATTTTGATGAAGACCGATCAATATTTAGCGCTAAACTGGACAAAGACTTTTGTGTGGCATTTAAATTGGTACCAATTATATTGATCTATGTACAAGTATGGGGGTACTTACTTAGCTGGCTCGTGACAGAACTTTCGTTCCATAAGCCGAGCTTAAAAAAGATTTCCAGGCGCGTCGGTCTTTTGCACAGTATTTCCATTTTGAAAGACCATATTCGGCAATGTTATCTTCCACATGATCTTTCCATCTTATTCGTGGCCTTCCCTTTCTGCGTGACCCTTCAGCTGGTTCGCTTTTATATGCCTTCTGGGCTGGGGCACCTTCATCCATTCTCACAACATGACCTAGCCAACCTAGTCGCTGCTGCTCAATACTTCTAACAATATCGATGTCCGAGAATAGCTGGTACAAATCATGGTTCATTCGACGTCGATATTCACCGACGCCGACATTCATCTTTCGGAGAATTTTTCTTTCAAACTCCCCTAGAGCTGCCTCATCTGCTTGCGCAAGTACCCATGCTTCAGATCCATATAATAGCACGGGTATTATCAGCGTTTTGTAGTGTGAGTTTGGTCTGGCGGGAGGTGGCCTTGCTTTTGAGTTGTTTGCTCAGACCATAGTAGCATCTGTTGGCCATCACTATCCTTCTCCAAATTTCAAAACTGATGTCATTCGTTTTGTTTATGACGGTACCAAGGTAACAGCGGTAACAGGTGGCTGTTACCGCTCTCAATGTTCGACCCATTATGCCTATGTCATCTGTTCACTTTTGCCTATCGTATGACCTTTTCCAGCAGGATGTTAAAAAGGTCACACGACAAACTGTCACCATGTCTGAATCCTCGTTCAGTATTAAAGGGCTCCGAGAGGTCCATTCCGACTTTAACTGCTGATCTTGTGCCACTTAAAGTTATCCTGCATAGCCGTATTAATTTTGCAGGAATGCCAAACGCAGACTTGGCTTTATACACCTCTGAACGGATAGGGCTGTCGAATTCGGCTTTATAGTCGACGAATAGGTGGAATGTGTCGATGTGTTTTGCGTGGGTTTTTTCCAGGATTTGGCGCAGAGTGTCCAATAATGTTATTGACCATTGGTTTCAGTCGTTCACGCAGTACGCTGGATAGCACTTTATATGCGATGGGCCTCTATAGTTGGCACATATCGTCTTGTCTCCTTTTTTGTGCACGGGACATAGGATGCTGAGGTTTCAATCATTAGGCACGCATTTTTCTAGCCATATTGTACTAATCAGCTGGTGCATGCTCCTTACCAGCATCTGACTACCAGTCTTGAATAGTTCGGTTTGTAACCCATCGCTCCTGCTTTATTATTCTTCAGCCGATTGATTGCTATACCGTCATCTATTGTTGTTTCTGGGGTATAATCTTCACCGCTACTATTTGATACCAGAAGTTTTTCAAAATGCTCCTACCAGATCCTCAGCACGCTGTCTGTATCTGTCACCAGGTTTCCTTCTTCATCTCTACAGGAGGATGTACCTGCACCAAAGCCTTCGGTTTGGTGTTTTACCCGTTGATGGAATTTTCGGACTTCATTCTGATTCCTGTATATCTCGATTTGCTCACGCTCACGTTTTTCTTGTTCTTTCTTCTTTTTTCTGAAAATACTTTTCTCCTCCCTCCTTTTCTCCCGATAGTTCTCCATCGCATTACGTGTTGCTACTGTCCACAGGGTTGCCCTATACGCTGCGTTTTTCATATCAGTAGCATTGATGGTTGTCTTTTGTACCCAAGTATTGCTTTTTCTACAGTTTGTAGGGAGTGGGCAATTCTCTGCCACTGTGCTTCTTTAAGTGTTGGGACAAGGGGTGCTTTCGTCAAGCAGTTGTTTAAGTTGAGCAGAGTAGGCTTCTGCTTTCTGTTGTTTTTGCAGCTTTTCGACGTCAAATTTCCGTGTTACATTAGATCGCACCTTTGCTGCTACATTAAGATGGGTGCGTACCTTGGCTGCCACAAGGTAATGGTTCGAATCGATATTCGGTGGTCTTCGGTGGTACAGTGGTCTACGTATTCTGATATTTACCACACTTGCTTCAGAAAAAATCCGATCCCAATTCCTTAATATCAGTCAGAAGTTATTTCAAATCGAACAATAATAGTTTTTTGATGCATTTAGAAGTAACAAAAAAATCCTTTACAAATGATAGAGTTGGTTGGCAGTGATGTATAAAAGGGGCGATGTGTGCCATTCGAATAATATTATAATCTAAATTATTGGTATTTGTTCATATCCTTTTTATAATGTCTTCTATTTATCTTTTAGACAACCCAGTCAAATGCCAGTCATGTGTTCATACGCAACGTGTCGTTGGCCATATCAGGACGCTATGCGTGTGAAGTATCGGCCGATGCACCGTCATTTCATACAACGATGATGGGTGGCGTAATGGATGTTGTTGGTGAGTATATTTCAAAATGTTTTACAAAATAGATATTAAATGACGGTTTTGTAACTATTATTTGCTTTTTCTTACTTTCCATTAGAACTGCCTACCCAGCGACCAATAATAACGGGAATTCATTCCCGTTATCGTTTGGGTGATGTTATCAACGGAAATTGTTCATCTGATTATTCAAAGCCGGCGGCGAATTTAACATGGTGGATAAATGATATACAGGTGAGTTTCAAATCGATTTATTGGTAAACACGAAATGATCAAATCTATATTCAGCATGGCTTAATTTGGTTTACTGTATGAGAATCCTTATTCCGGAAGACTGAATGTGGGTTTCTATATAGGAATATTAATTTAACTTCAAGGACATTTGTTTTATATAGGAAAACATTACTTCGGCCTGCCTGAATAAAATTTTACGAGGAAAACGTCAATGAACCTGGCTGGAGATATATATTTAAATAAGAAAACATTTATTCAGTTTGGCTAAATTTTAATTTTGAATTGGAAAAAACAAGTTCAGCCTGGCTAAATGGTGATTTCTATAGGAAATGTTTAGTTTAGCCTATCACAATGATGCTTTCTATAGGAAAACTTCAGTTCACCCTGGCGGAATAGAGTTCTCTGCAGGAAAAACTTAGACCAGCCTGACAGATTGTGGTTTTCTATGGAAAATTTCCAGTTTAGACTGGCCAAATGGTATTCTGTATACTAAAACTTAAATTCAGCCTGGCTGAATGGTGTTTTCTATATGGAAACTCAGTTCAGACTGGCTGAATGGTGTTTTCTATATGAAAACTTCAGTTCAGCCTGGCTGAATGGTGTTTTCTATATGAAAACTTCAGTTAAGACTGGCTGAATGGTGTTTTCTATATGAAAACTTCAGTTCAGTCTGACTGAATGGTGTTTTCTATATGAAAACTTCAGTTCAGCCTGGCTGAATGGTGTTTCTATAGGAAAACTTCAGTGCAGCCTGGCTGAATGGTGTTTTCTATAGGAAAACTTCAGTTCAGCCTGGCTGAATGGTGTTTTCTATATGAAAACTTCAGTTCAGCCTGGCTGAATGGTGTTTTCTATATGAAAACTTCAGTTCAGCCTGGCTGAATGGTGTTTTCTATATGAAAACTTCAGTTCAGCCTGGCTGAATGGTGTTTTCTATATGAAAACTTCAGTTCAGCCTGGCTGAATGGTGTTTTCTATATGAAAACTTCAGTTCAGCCTGGCTAAATGGTGTTTTCTATATGAAAACTTCAGTTCAACCTGGATGAATGGTGTTTTCTATAGGAAAACTTCAGTTCATCTTGGCTGAATGGTGTTTTCTATAGGAAAACTTCAGTTCAGCCTGGCTGAATGGTGTTTTATAGGAAAACTTCAGTTCAGCCTGGCTGAATGGTGTTTTCTATAGGAAAACTTCAGTTCAGCCTGGCTGAATGGTGTTTTCTATAGGAAAACTTCAGTTCATCTTCGCTCAAAGGTGCTTTCTATAAGAAAACTTTAGTTCAACCTTGCTGAATTGTGTTTTCCATAGGAAAACTTCACTTTAGCCTGGCTGAATGGTGTTTTCTATAGGAACACTTCAGTTCAGCCTGGCTGAATGGTGTTTTCTAAAGGAAAACTTCAGTTCAGCCTGGCTGAATGGTGTTTTCTAAAGGAAAACTTCAGTTCAGCCTGGCTGTATGGTGTTTTCTATAGGAAAAAATACTATATCCTTCAGTCTAAATATAAGATTCGTGGCAAAAATTTATTAAAAGTGATTTATATCGGTTATTTTCGATTTAAATTTTTATTTATGTAGGTAATAAAAATTTTTCTACTAAAACTATTAACTTTCGATGATGAAGATGACCCTGCTGCGTCTCCATATGTTTATCTATAATTGGAGAACTATTCTCGTTTGAAAATAATATACTAAACTTGTAGCCTCATTTCCTGCTGTTTGCTATAATGGCCTTGTTAAAGTTTTTATGACAACTAATTTTCTTCATTCATCCGAAACTACGGCCCGGACAAAAGGCAGTACAGGGTGATAATAACCAATACGAGAAGACAGATGGAATTGGAGAAAAATCCAAGAAAAAATCGTTATTGAATTCGTTGCCATAACGTCTATCATTTGAAATGACTTTGTGTTAAGAATTTTCGTTAAAGGACGTCTGCATGTCCTGCAGTGCAACAAAAAATTTATTTTTTACATATCACTATTGCTACTTTTCCATGATATTGGCTACGAGAACAAAAACCTAGATGTAAAATACCAGAAAAAATAACTGAGAAAGAGAGAGAGACGACTTGTGCCACTAAGAAATATCAATAACCATCCATTATGTATTTCAATATTTTGCACAATTTCCATTTAAAGTGCAGCATAAATCAAATCTAAAAACCAAACTAATGAATTTGTGTTTTTTTCTCTCTATTCTTCTTTCCGAACGCTACTTCATTGGTTTTATTGGCGTTTTTATGGTAAATACCATTTTTCAGTGGAGAAAAAAAAGAGAAACACTAGTAGGAGAGGAGAATAGGAAGTTAAATGAAAGTAGATATTAGCAGAAAAATAAATACAGCTAGTAAAACGAAATTATGTTCGACTAGACCATATAACAAGGTCTCTTATCAACCGGGGAATCATAAACGCCAGTAAAATTTTAATCTATAAGGTTTCTATGAATTCCGAAAATCGAGCGGTATCGTCGAGCTTTAGCTAATTGTTTTTGTTATTTATTATAAGTTTGTTGTTGTGTGGGTTGTATAAGTTTGGCCGATTCCAAGAATTTGTAACGAGATCGCCATGTATCGACGTCTATTCATCATTTTTTTTTTTTACAGGCCGCAACTATCGTTACGTTAACTGTATAGATTATATAGGGAGTTTGCAGTGGATAGTGCACCCCACAGACATGGGGTTCAACCCCCTTATAATTATTTCAAAACGGTTTTCAGATATATTTAATGGTATTCTTTATTGATATTTCAATAAAGAATACCATATCCTCACATAGGGAAGACATGATCCGGATCTGGTTGCCAGTGTATGAAAGAGACATGGTTGATCTATAATCTGAAATGGTTTCAATTGATGTAAGATATTACGAATTTGGGAACTACACTAAAAATTGTAAAGGGGGATTCAAATCGCGGAATGTTAAAGTTCGATGGTAGTATTCACTACCAATGCATACAGAAAAGGCATAGTTTTGGTGTGATTTGTGGCACCACTGGACCGTAATTATTCCTGCGAATAGTAACGTGAATGTTAATGTGAGCGTATCTTAAATCTCATTATGGTTATGGTGTGTAGGTCTTTAAGTAGTTATAATTGACGAAGGAACATATACAAAGGAACATGACGGATCTGTCGAATATAACGATGTTTATACCCTTCACCACACTGTGGTAACGGGGAATTATGTATTTATGCATATGTTTGTAACAGGCAAAAGGAATCGAGATAGACCCACGGTTCCTTTCGAGAATATGCATAGAATGACTTTCTGAGTCGATTTATGCATGTCCATCTGTGCGTGCGTTTTAGATATAGCTCTCATATATATTTTCGCCGATTTTATGTAAATGTTGCACCATACTGTCATTGTTTGTCCGATTGAGAAAATATTTTACATAGCGTCCTGAAATTACTGCAGGTTGACATCAACGAAATTTTGTTGACATCGGTTCAGATTTAGATATGGCTCCAATATATAGTTTCGTCCGATTTTATATAAATGGAGCACCATACAGTCAATGTTTTCCGATTGAGACAAAATTTTGCATACCGTATTGAAGTTACATCACGTGACATACGTCAAGTTTTCTTGAAATGGGTCCAGATTTAGATATAGCTCCCATATATATTTTCGTTCGATTTCATGTAAATGGCGCAACGAGGAGTCTATGTTTGTTCTATATTCACAAAATTTAGCAGCGGGTATGGAATTTATTGTAGAATGCTTTGGTTAAGTTTGAAATCGGTTCAGATTAAAATATAGCTCTTATATATTCTTTAGTCCCGTTTTATGTAAATGGTGCACCATAGATCCTGTTGTATTTGCACGATAGTTTGTTGTTGAAATTGGTTCAGATGTAGATATAGCTCCCTCATATATTTTTGTCCAATTTTATGCAAATGGTGCAAATACAGGAGCCTTTTCGCTTTACAAGAAATACTGCATATTATGTATCCAAAGTAGTGAAGGATATTATATAGAACATTCCTTACTGGATTTACTTGTTATTGGTTTCCTCTCACCCAAATATTTATTCAATATTCCCACTTCATTCGTATTGCCACGCAGTTATGCTTTAGCAAATATCTAGTCAATACCATTTCTATTACCGTGTATTTCTTATTGTTCCAATTCCCGCTGTTAAGACATTCGAAACATGTGCCGTTTGCATCACATTGACATAACAAGCGAATTGTCAAATGCATAAAAAATGTTTGCAAAAACATAAATTTTCGAATTGCAAACGAAATTTATGCTACTACAACAAACAATTATTATTTTTTCTTTGAATAACTTTAGTTTTTCAATAGAAAATTTATAATTCCATTACCATTGTTCAAATTTCTAAAACAAAGGGATTATTGACAATGTATAGATTTGGTTAACCCAGTGGGTTTAAATTTTCAATTCCTTTGAATATATGCCAAATAAATCCTCATAAAGTAGGTTAACCCGGTAAAAAGTTCTAATGTAAATGCCGTATAAAGCAGCATTAAGACACTTAAAATATTTTGGTTGTCCGAATCCATTTTATCAATGTCATTGAATTTTCTTCTGTTTTCATCACAGAATTGTAAAATTATAGGCGTTGTCCTCGACCAAGACTGGAACCTCATGGAACATTTTGAAGCGATTAGGGATGTATTTCCGCCCGGTAATGGGTAACTAAATAATATCTGAATAAGTAAGCACCTGTAAATATTTACGTGTAACTCCCACATCCGAGTACATACGACAATATAATTGGTATCAATTTAAAGGCCAACCACTCCTCTTGGATATACTATTAACCATCAAGAATTATAAAATTTTCATGTAAAGATTTTTGAGATATCATACAATGTTATGAAAATGATTTTCGAATTTGTAAGCAGGAAGTAGAAAATGAAGTGGATCTGTAGATCACTTGTGGAAAGTGAAAGATACCCCACCATCTAATCCACTTGATGCGAGTATAGTATGTGACGAAAACCTATTTCCCAACATAAATATATTGTT